TGACTTGATGGCAGTCAACAACAACAAAACAATGTGGGCTTATATTTGAACTATTTTGTTTATCTTTTTTGTATACTGTCCTGATTAGTGGTGGTAAAGGCCCTCCTGTGTTGTTTTTCTGTGAGAATGCTTACTTTTAAGTCCTTTGTTTTGTAATTGAATGTTTAGAATCAGTTAGTCAATATTCACAGAACAGTTTGCTGAGATGTTGACTAGTGTTGAATGGAATGAATATAAATTTGCAAAAGAATGGCATCTTGACCGGGAGCCCTGGTGGCTAAGTGGTCAGGAACTGCACTGCCAATGAAAAGGCACTGAGTTTAGTAGCTGCTCTGTGGGAGAAAGCTGAGAAAGTACCTCCTGAGCGTTTTATTCACTCTGAAAACTGACCAGAGGGTGAGCTATGGGTCATTCTGCATTTGAAAGCTGGACAATAAGGAAGCCCTAAGAGAACTGATGTATTTGAATGATGTAAAAACTCATTGCTGTGATGTCAACAGCTGACCCTCCAATGGTTTTTAGAGAAGCTGTGAATTGTATGTGGGTTCGAAATACAGCTCCTTAGGAACGCCACGACCCTTGAATTTAGTGGCAGAGAATATTGGGGGAGGGAGCAGAAAATGCATATACATATATACACACACACACACACACACACTTCCAAATATATAGCTACAAAATGACAGATGCTAGAAGCTAAGGACCACAATTATGGGGTGCTAGGATTTGAAACAGAACCTGTTAAGCATCTTACGAGTGCTTTGGAGACCTCACTCAGGTCCCAAGGATAGGATTTCCAAATAGCCTAACATCTGGAAGTTATCTGCCTACTAGGTTATTGTTGTTAAGTGCTGTCGAGTCAGAGGTGACTCATAGCGACCCTATGAACAAAAGACATGAGCACCAGTATAACTTTTGTCCTTTCTCCAGGTTCATAGGGTTTCCAAAGGCAAGCTATTTCAGAGGCAAGCTATTATGGAAGTAGATGCCACTCCTGCTTCCAAGCTTGTTTTAATCGGGGAGCTCCACCAAACACTGTCCACCATTGGTAACCATTCTTGCATTTGACACATCAGTGTCACAGTGTCCAGCTTCACAGCAACCAGAGTTACTGCTGTACAGCAAGCGGACATACCAGGGTTATAAGACTTAGAAGATTTCACCGAAAACAAGTAAAGCAGGCCCAGGGCCCTAAAGAATTTTAAGCTACCCCTTGGGCAGGCTCCCCCTTTTATTTACCCTTACTCTATGGCCCAGGACCGCCCACTCACTTTAGAAGGGCAAAAGGAACAGTGACACCAAGGAAAAGGACCCCAGAAACTTCCCTTGCCTGACTGCCACCAAGAGAAGCCACCATCAAGATGCCAGCCGTCCTGCCAGTTATTAGAAAGTATATTTTTATTTTATGGATATATAAGCAAAGATGCAGCAGACTGGATCAAAGGAATGAGTTGACTGGGGACAACTGAAACCAGAGTTAAGTAAATCTGCAGATAAAGAGCATTACTGCATTAGTCAGGCTGCAGGGAAGAAGGGAAACTAGGCATTAAAGTTCTCGTCATAGGGTGCATGGCCAATCAGATTTTCAAAGAGCTTCTTGTAAGAACCCACCATAAACTCTACTGTGGAAGAAACAGCATTAGGCTAGATCAGCTACTTCAGGGCTGAGCATTCAAGCATTTCCAAATACCTAAATGCAGGCTTGTCAACACTTACAGCTTTCTTTCAGTTTTTCCTTATTTGCAGAAAGGCTGGAGAGAAGAGGTTTTAAGTCCACTTTGGCTTTCTGTAGCATTTCCAAAATATCAACTTTATTTTCGGTGTGATCTTCCAGTGGTATAGGAGCAAAGTAATTCCCCGAGTTCTGTCCAGGAGAGAGGATAGCTTGCTCCAGACCTGGTATTGAAAAGACACACTCATAATTAACTGGTCCCAATATAAAGCACAAACTGCTCTTCAGCAGCATTGAGATGACACAAATTTGTCAGTAACTCAGTCTCCGCAGAATCTCTGAACCTAACAGACTTAGGAACCGAGAATGTCAGAGAAGGTTCAAAGTTTACATGCAAGGCCAGACTCAGATATCATTTTACCTGCAAGCCGTTCCAGTTCTTCATGTGGTGTGGACCCAAGGCTGCTCGAGCGGCTTCCGGACCGGCTGGGGTTAGAGAACCACCTACTGAAGCGGCTGGCAGAGACCGACCCTTCTCCCAAAACATCTTCTATCATCTAGAGGGAGAGAGAAAAGGAGCGAAGATAATATCAGCAAAAGGACAAGACGATTCCAGCTGTCCTCAGTATAGTCATCTTGGCAACTTGATTCCTGATAAACAGGAATTATAAGAAGAAAAATAACTAAAAAAGAGGTCACTTACTTTGAAATTTGTTTGATGTTACTGACCTGCAGGTAACACCCTCAAAACCTGGGATTCGTAGCCCCTTTTCATTTACTTTTCTTTCTGTAAGCTTTAGGGGTGGGGTGCACTGTGTGTTGTGCTAACTGAAAAGTCCACAGCTTGAACCCACCAGCTGCTCCACGAGAGAAGACGGGCAGTCTGCTCCTCTAAAGGTGCAGAGCCTCGGCAGCCTGATGGAGGGCAGCAGCGAGGCAGTTTCTTCCTCTACTGGATCATTTCTGAGTAACCTAATTTGGGCATAACTAAGCATATTCTTTCTAACTATATGAAGCAAAGCGTCTACACCACAGAAACTGTCTTGGTTTTTCATCCTTTGCTGCATCAGAAAACGTCATCCTCTACTAGATGGTATCAGATGACACAGTTTCAGAATAAAATTCAGCACCAGCGTGAAGAATCCAATTGCTAAAGTGATGGGTGGCCTTCAACTAAACATCAAGGATGGGAGCCGATAAAGAACCCACTTCAAATTTTAATCTGAACAATTGTAGAAGCCCAAAACTAAACAAGCAGAACTTCTAAGTCAAAGTTTAGAAAGTGTGAGGATACAAAAGATGAATTTTTAACGGATTCTTTAAAAAATTTTTTTTTGCAAGAGTCTGCTGAAGATCATCCAAAAACGACTGGAACAACACATCAGCAGAGAACTGCCAGAAGTCCAGGCTGGGTTTAGAAGGGGTCGTGGTACTAGGGATATTGTAGCTGATGTTAGATGGATCTTGGCTGAAAGCAGGGAATACCAGAGGAATGTCTATCTGTGTTTCACTAACAATGCAAAGGTGTTTGTGTGGATCATAGCAAACTGTGGCTGACTCGGAGAAGAATGGGAATCCCAGAACACTTGATCGTTCTAATGAGAAACCTATACTGGGACCAAGAGGCAGCAGTCAGAACAGAGCAAGGAAACACTGCAGGTTCAAAATTGGGAAAGGTGTACTCCAGGGATGTGTCCTGTCTCCATACCTTTTCAACCTGTATGCAGAACAGATTATCCAGGAGGCTGGGCTCTATGAGGAGAAATGTGGGGTCAAGACTGGTGTTAAGATCTATCAACAATCTGCGATATGCAGATAATACAACCCTGACTGCTGAAACTGAGGAGGACCTGAAGCTCTTGCTGCAGAGGGTCAAGGACTGCAGCCTCCAATATGGATTGAGGCTCAGCGTCAAGAAGACAAAGATTCTCACCACTGGGCCAAATGGCAGCATCAGGATGGATGGTGAAGAGATTGAGATTGTTCACAGCTTCAGTTTGCTTGGCTCCACAATCAACACTCTTGGCACCAGTAGCCAGGAAATTAGAAGATGTATTGCCATAGAAAAGTCTGCTGTTAGGAACCTCTTCAGAGTACTGAAGAGCAATGGTGTCTCTCTGGAGACTAAGGTGCATCTGGTACAGGCCATGGTCTTTGCTATCACTTGTTATGTATCAGAGAGCTGGACAATGACTAAGGAGGATAGAAGGAGAACTGATGCCTTTGAGCTGTGGTGCTGGAGAAGAGTATTGAGAATACCATGGACTGCTAGGAAAACAAACAGATTCATCCTGGAAAGGGTCAAACCGGGCTGCTCCTTGAAGGCTAGGATTCTAAGGCTCCATCTAACATACTTTGGACATGCTGCAAGGAGGGATAGGTCCCCTATGAGATGAATTCAGTGACTGGGGTTATCGGGATGGGTGTATCAGAGATGGTGTGATTGGCACAGGACAGAACAGAGTTTAGGGCTGTTGTACATATGGTTGCTATGAGTTGCAAGCGACTCGATGGCACATAAAAAACATAACAACAACTGTCAAATCAGATCTGACTAGTACTAGGAGATTGCCCCTTCTTCTCCAGCAGAGCATCTGGTGGATTTGAAACATGTACCTCTGGGATTGCAGTGCAGCTTCTTGCCACTAGGCCACCAGAGCTCCCTTAACTGATTTCTTTTTCAAAAAAAATTTTATTAATTTCAGTGAACATTTACAGAGATTTTGGATTTCTATTCATTCATTGTTGAACTATCCTTAACTGATTTCTAATATGCCTGAACTTAATGTCAAGTTTCAAGTCTTAAATGAACCTCCTTAGTTTTCAGTCTAATAATATGAACAATTAAATGATACCCTATGATCAGAAAAATTTACTCCACACTGGTATCTCTATTAACAATTCTTAAAAATTAGATATACGTGTTGGGGTGTGTTGGTTTTTTTAAAGATTTCTTACTACCGAACTTGGGGGGGGAGGGGAGGGAATTAGAGAGAATTATGCCAAGTAAACTCAGTCCCATAAACACAATTATCGTATAAAACTATTATTGTAGAATGAGTACGAGGATCCACGGGGTGGGGGGCGGAGGAGTTGAAACAGAAGGATGAGGACGGGCGGAGAGGGGCGCTGTTAATCATAGGGTTGCACAATTTGATGTGTGGGGGGGTGAAAGAAACGGGAAAGATCTTGTGTGAAAAACAATGTATTCAAACTTTGTAAAGAAATCAGTATAAAATTAAAAAGAATTTCTAATTCTACCTTATCATAACCCAGATACCTACACAAACTGATCCTCATGCAGTCCTCTATCAGACAGCTTCAGTCACATTTCACATGAAGACTCACACTTTAAATGTTGACTTTCCAGTACACTCATTTTGGAACAATTAAAAGTATAAGCAGCACAAATGATGTCTCACTGAAAAATTAGAAATTGTACTCAGAATATAAGCCACCACGGTGATGGACTGAATAGAAATGTTTAGCAACTAATACTCTAGTAGAATGCGGGTAAAAAGGGAGGGAGAAGGGACTAAATGCTAATAAATAAGTAATACCTACTTATTAAGATGGGTGAAAGGAAAGGCAACATAGACTAAGGGGATGATCGGATAATGTGAATAGAGTTTTTAATGTTATCAAGAAAAATGGGTATGAGTGACTGAGAAAAATCTCCCTGCTTTGAAAACTTTCACTCAAACCACAAAAAAAAAAAAAGCAAACACATTCTATTTCAATGTTAAAAGTTCAAAATTTGCAAAATTTGACAAATAGCAAAATGATGACTGCAATTGAATTTTTTTCTTCTGGCCATATTGTAAAGGGAAATTGTCAGAAGATACAGAAAGAGCTTGAAAAATCAAGGACATAGATATGCAACAGCTGGAGGTTGTTTAGAGAGATCACAGGATATCTGGACCAAGTACCCTCCATATTTTGATGAGTGACTAACACTTTCTGGTAGAGAGGTTTTACTGCAGCTAAGATACAGATAAATGAGGAGAGAAAGTTAATTCTATGCATATTTGGTAGCAATGCCAATTTCAAGAAATGAAAGCATTTTAAATGCAAACCGAGTCCCCAGAGTTTGTCTAGTCAGCGCTGGTTTTCATAGCAGAGCGAGCTGAGCCACCCCAACCCAATTTCCCCTCCCAGCATCTTGGTACAGGAGGTGGGACTAGGACTCACTTTTTGGTGAGAGAATTTTCTATTGGATCATTGTCACCAAGTGATGGAGAAAAGGAGCCTGTGAACGCTAACCTGGTGTTTCAGTTGTTGTTAAGCACCATACATTTACAGCAACCCACGTGTCCAACAGTATGAAACAATGTCCAGTCCTCTGCCATCCCCTAAGGGTTGCTATGTTTCGAGAGGCACTGTTGTAGCCACCATGTCATCCCATCTCAGTCACGGTCTTCCTCTTCTACCTCTACTAAGCTAAAGGATGGCCTTTCTCCAGTTGCCTATACTGTGCATTTGGTAGTATTTTTGAAGGTAACCTACAAGTCTCCTCCTTCAAACAAAGGCATTTTAAATAAGATATAGCCTCAGTATTCTAATCAAATAGAATATTTTGATGACAAGTACTTGGTTTTACTAATCAATACTTTTTTTCCCTATTACTTTCCACTCTTACACAGAACTGTCTTTTTTCAATCTATTTAATTCTGGTTTACTGGTTTCATTTTGTTTCGATTTCTGTACATACTTTTGAGTATAAATTAGATTCTTATGTCATGCTCCTATTAAATGCCCTAATTAATTTGTTGTTGTTATAGACTGTTGTTGGAGACTCAGAGCTGACTCTCCAGTGGGTTTTCAAAGGCTGTAAATCGCACAGGAGGCCATCTTCCTCCCTGGAGCAGCTGGTGGATTCGAACCGCATGTCTTCAGGTTGGCAGTACAGTTCTCTACCACTACGTCACCAGAGCTCCCTTAATTTAGGACTTCTAATGTTTTTAATTTTCTTATTCTTCATTCAATATATGTGAACATTTGTTAGAGGTCAGGCACAGTTTTAGAAGTTGAATTATCTTAAAAGTTTGTTGGTTTTTTTTTTGTTGTTGGGTTTTTTTATTTTGTGTGCTACGTGTACCATCAAATCAGATCTGACTGGTACAGGAGGATATTGCGCCTCCTTCTCCGGCAGAGCATCTGGTGGACTTGAACCATGTTCCTCTGGGATTGCAGTGCAGCTTCTTGCCACTAGGCCACCAGAGCTCCCCCAAAAGTTTATTTTTAATTACTTGAATCAACATTACTTACATACATGATTCAAATATTCAGTTTCTATAGTTCTTTTTGGCCATCACCTTTGCCATTTCATGTGTGTCTGAATGCAGCATATGTGTATATGTATCTGTTTACTCATTGTCCCCTTTTACTAGAAAGTATTAAAGCAGCAACTTTGTTTTGTTCAGTACTGTATCTTCCTAGAATACAGCTCAACCTTGAGTTACCTGATACTTCTTTTTGAATGAAATAAATTAATACAGTATTTGAAATTTTAATTGTTGGTTAGTGTGTGGTCAAATTTATACACACACACACACACACACATAAATATATAAAGTGCATTCTCAGTTTAGATATAAAGTTCTTCTATTAATACCGAATATATAGAGCTTATCAAGTGTCAAGCACTATTCTAAATACTTTGCATTTTAAAATACTTAAATCCCATACAGACTTCTAAGGAGCCCTGGTAGCATAATGTGTTGTGTTACGTGTTGGGCTGTCTATACAAAGGTTAGTGGTTTGACTCTCACAGCCACTCTGTAAGATTTACAGCCTTGGAAACCTGACTAAGGGCTCCTGTAAGTCAGAAGTGGATTGGGTTTTGGTAATAAAGACTTTTACTTACTTTTCCTATTGGTCAGTTCTTGAATACTGTATTAGAATTTACCTGGTTAGACTGCATTTTTAAACCAGAATTTTTAAAAATGAATTCCAGTTTTGCTTTTTTGGTCTCAATGAGTAGTCCCTCCATGAAAAAGTGGAGTGGTTTAGCTGGGATTGGAAGCAAAGGAGATTTCCTGTGCCTACCTTGACACTTCACGGAAGCAGAGCTATGAGAGATTGAGGGCAGACTCTTGACTCAAACACCGTGAATAAAAATTAGTTCCCAGTATTTACTATCAGTGTGACTTTGGGCAAGTTATCTAAACTGTGCCTGTTTGCTCATATGTAACATGCTTCCTAAGGGGTGTGTGATGATTAAATGACTGCTGCAAGTCATTAGAAAACCCACGCCATTACCAAATGTTCTCAAAGGAGAAGACCTAGCACTGCCTGAAGCAAAAAGCCCAGTATGTGTGTTGACAAGTTCAGCACTTGGTTTGAGCGTGGAGTCTTCCTCTCCACAAACATAGCTGCTTACACAGCACCTCTGAAGCTCCAGGAGAATCAAACCACCAGCCTTTCAGTTGGTAGCTGAGTGCTTTAACTCCCATGCCACTAGAAAAAGACCACACACTGGAGGGGACCACTTAAGTTTTAGATCAGAAAGATGGGATTCTTTTGCTTGGACTGAAGCAGTGGGCACACTACAGAGACGGTGACCCCTCCTGCTAAGGTTCTCACATAGCGCTCCACACCTCACCGTGCTGTGCCTGCTCACCTACCCTGAGTGCCCATCTTTTGGGGGTTCAGGTAGAGCCACATGACAATGAAGACAGGCCAGTGTTGTCTGCTATCCTGCCCAGTTTTGTCTGCTCATATAGGAATCTAACAGCAGTGAGAGTGGAGAAGCAAAGGAATTTAAGCCAATTCTTATAAGCCATGAATTCTAATGGACTGGTCAGACTCACTTGCTTTATAGAATTAGGACATCTGAAGTATACAGATTTTATTTATTTTTTTAAGTGGTTTTGCAAATCTGCCTAGAGTCTCATGCACCCTTTCAGCAACCAACAAAACCTGTATTCTGTACACAAAGGCCACAGTTGTATCTTTTCACCAAAATTTTGGGGATGCTAATCCCTAAGTATCTGAAGGCGGCTGGAGCAAGGCCAGGCCACACGTGAAAACCTGGGCACCCCCAGGTGTTTCAACTCTTTCGATGTTAGAACTTGAGAAAGGTTAGACCTCAAGAACACCAATAATATCCCAGGTCCCTCTCCACTGGAGGCTCTTGGAACCATCACATAATAGATACCACTTAAACGAGCAGCTTTACCAAAGTAATGCAGCATAACACAAATGGCCAGGTAGAACAGGCCGCCTCCTCCCTAAGTCTTTACACCAAACAGTTAACTACTTCAGGACAGACGCAGACAGTGTTCTTAAATAGCCAAAGGCTTCTACCTCTCTACCATCAGCCTGGCTAAAAGTTAATCGGGACAAAATTCCCAGTCATTTCCACTAAGCCTCTCAAAACAAAGCCAACAAAAAGTCAAATCATATTTAGGGATTTAAAAAAAAGCCAAAGACGACACCCAAACCCAAAACATCAACCGAAACACCACTTAGAGACACAGGTCCCAGTGAACTGGAAGGCTGCTCCAGCCATGGTTGTGTGCTGCTACACTCACCGAAGCCAAGCACGGCACCTTATCAAGGTTAAAGAACTCATTAAAGTCAAATTCTCCTGGGGACTGCTCGGGCAAGATGGCGTCCCTCGGCACCTCCTGATCAGCTGCAGGCTCCTGCGCAAGAATGACCTCCACCTCATCCTCTTCGGCCACTCCTCCATTGCACTCGACTAGGCCTGAAAGCAAAACCAGGACAAAACAGTCTGATCAAGCCATGTGCTCCAGTCTTCCTCTGTATCAGCCAGCTACACGCATGCACAAAGAACCACAGACGGCGTTCAAAGCAGAGTTCTTGGACAGGGACAGCACTTACAGGACTGAAATCGTCGCCATCCGGCAGGAGCTAGAGGAGGAGGGAAGCCTTCATGACGAGCCGGAACACTGACAGCAATGCACCCCACCGCCCCCGGGACGTCGTGTGTTCTCTAGTGCAGTGTGTTATTTTATCAAGAGGAATTTTTTTTTTCTTTTAAAAAGAGTCTCTACAAGTCTCTTACTGCTTAAGTATAGGAGCAAAGCAGTTTGGCTCTGCCTTTGCCCACACCTCTGCGCCACCAAAGCTCTAAAGGCAGGATTCAGCAACTGAAGGGATTACAGGGGAGCAGGCATGAGGGCAATTCTCACTTGTCCACAGGCTCATCCTGCAAGGCAAGGGTCAAAGAGCACCTCGTGTGGGAAGCTGGCTCTGCCTACCCATGTTTATACGACCCAGCAAGACTGACTGGTGCCTCACCTGGAATCCTCGTGCTAGCTCACAAAGCACCATTACACTGTACTGGAGTGACCCTCTGAAGGCAGGTGCTCTCTTCTACTTGGCCTTGTTTTGCCCTGTAGTTCAGAGGAAACTTAAAACTCAGGAATCCTCAGTGGTTTTTAAGATGGGAAATACTGTCACTGTCAAGTGAAGTATCAACTGCTAAGACTTCAGAAACCCAGCAGATTAGTTTTAGCCAGAGTTAAGTGCATCTTGTCTGAATGTAGAGACTATTTCAAGAATGGATCTGACACATCTGAAACTAGAAAGACAAAATGACTTATGGGAAGACATCAAAGATATCTCACATGAAGAAAGTGAAAGATTACTAAGAAAGACTCAAGGAAGGAGAAGATGCCGGGTGTCTATGAAACTGGCTCCTGAACACAAAGCAGCTAAAGTAAAAGAAGAAATGATGACATCAAAGAGCTAAACAGAAAATTTCAAAGGAAAGCCCCAGAAGGAAGGACACAATATTATGAAATGTGCAGAGATCTGGAGTTAGAAAACAGAAAGGTAAGAAGAGAGTTTCAGCTGAAAGAGCTTCCCAATTGCAGAGCTGTCGGAGGCAGAGACCTGGCTGCATTCCACCCACATCCATAGCCAAGGAAGGCTTTGCTGCTGGAGGAGTAACGGACGTTAAATACCGCTTTACCAGGTGTGCTAAAGACCACCCTCATCCACGAAGGCCTCGCATGAAGAATCCGCGGAGCTGCCAAAGCCTTAGACAAGCGCCAAGCCCGTCTCTGTGCACCAACTGTAATGAGCTTTGTATGTCCACTTAGTAGATGCCCTTTGTGCTGAACACCACATCAACCTGATAAAGACTGGTGACAGCAAGAAACTAGGGGAGTGGGCAGGCCTCTGCAAAACTGACCGAGGAGGAAAGCCTCACAAAGTGGGTGGTGAAGCTGTGCAGGTGTTAAGGATTATGGCAAAGAATCTCAGGCCAAAGGTGTCACTGAAGAGTACTTCAAATGCAAGAGACATTAATAAAAAACGTGGCATATTGAAGGGGGGAAAGAAGAATTGAAGAGAAAAATTCAAGCCTTAAGTTGCAACACTGAAACAGTCTATGGTCAAAATACTGAATGATGCAGGAGGCATCAAAAGAAGATAAAGTAAGGAAAAAGAAGAAGATAAAATATTGTCCACTTTTTTTTTAAAAAAAAAACTTTCTAAAAAAATTTTATTTTTTATTATTTTTTGGATCTAATTGGTACAGGAGGAGATTGCCCCTCCTTCTCCAGCAGAGCATCTGGTGGATCTGAACCACCTACCTCTGGGATTGCAGTACAGCTTCTTGCCGCTAGGCCACCAGAGCTCCCTAAAATATTGCCCACTTTGACGACATGCATTCAAAAATTTTCCAATGTGCCAGTCCTACGGTAAAAAGCATGCTGAGAAAGGAAGAGGGTCAACCCAGGAGAAGACCCATGACAGGCTGACAGTGACGACAACAACAATGGGCTTGAACATGGCAGAGATCCTGAGAATGATGCAGAACTGAGCAAGGTTTTGACCTACTGCTTACAGGGTCAGCTCAGCGGCACCTAACAACAACATAAGGAAACTGGAACAATGTAAAGAGTTGATTGACACATTCTCTATGTAAGGACGACATGCAAATTCATGAAGCACTTCATGTTTTTATGAATGGTTCAACAGAAGCCTAATTTGGTTTGCAAATTTTCACTCAAATCACACACAAAAAAAGAAGAAAGAATGTAGAGAATTACTGCATCAAAAAGTTCAGCGATCATCGCATGCAAACTTCCGAGTTGTAAAACAACCCAGTGGTAGATGGAATTTGCTCCAGGACTTAAGAACCATAAATGACATAGTTGAGCCTCTACATCTTGTGCTTCCTAACCGCTACACTATAATAGACAGAGTGCTAGTCTATAGGCCTTTTATTGTAAGAACCACCTTCCCTCTGTAACTTGATTCGTGCCACTATTAGAACCTCTACTCGGGGGAAAAAGAAAAAAAGAACCTCTACTCGGAATATTATTGCTTTTTAATTTTTGACTCATGTACTTTTAACTTGTTCAATTTGTGTCTTCTAGGCTGCAACACTTCCATGATACATCTTCAGGGATATGAACATGTACAGCTAAGCACAACTGATAACAGTGCATCTAAATTCCAAAATCAATCTCCATAACAGTCTACGTGTTTCCTACTGCCAAAGGGGCCCTTTAGAGTAGTGAGAGAAGATCTTCACCCTGAAACCCACAGCGTCCCTTTTCAGCAGGAAGTAGCTAAGAGAATACGCCATCCCCTTTTCCTTATGAATCAGGGTGAAGTCTCTCTCAGGGAGGAGTGATAGGGAATGGCAAAGGACACACTGACAAAGAAGATTAATCAGAACTGGCTTTGACAAGCACTGTGGCAATTGGACAATTAAAACAGACATTCGGGGGTGGGGGAGAAGAACAAACTGGGGAGGAGGGTAGAGAAAACAGTGCAGCAATGAATGAATGAGAACCCAAAGTCTCTGTAAATGTTCATTAAAACGAATAAAATTAAAAAAAAAAGTTCCTTCCACAAAAAAAAAGTACCGTATGATAAAGAATTGCTGCCCACTTGAAGGTATGGTGGGAAACAAGACACCAGGAACCAAGAGAATACTAGTTGAGATGCTTCAACAAATGGATGCTGTGTAGAAAGGACTTACTCACTTGAAATCTGGAAGACAGCTACCTGGCTAGCTAACTCGGAGAGATTCATATTCATGCCCATTCAGAGTAAGTCATCAAATGGAATGTGGAAATTATCAAACAACAGCACTAACATCAAATGCCAACAAAATTTTGCAGATGATGATTTAAAACACTTGCAGCCGAACAGGGAGCTTGAAGCTTGACAAGACGTTTAAGCCAGGTTCTGAAGAGAACATGAAATGAGTAATATAACTGCTGATATCAGATGGACTTTATCTAAACACAGAGAGTATCAGGAAAATGTTTAACCCATGTTATGGACTGTGTAACGCCATGTGACTGTGTGGATCCTAATACAATACAGGTAACATTATGAAGAACAAGAATTCCAGAACACTTAATTGTGTCTGCGTTGCGCCTGTACATGAACTAAGAGGCCACTGTTTGAAGGGAGCACAAGGATACCAAGTGGGCAAAGTGTGCAGCAAGGCTGTATTCTTTTACCTCTTTCAGTCTCTATGCTGAACAAATAGTCCATCAAGTAGATCTATGAGAAGTCTATGGAGCCAGGAGTGGAGGAAGGTTTTACTCAAAATGTATATGAATTATTTAGTGGAAAACGGAACTGTTCTGTAAACATTCACCTATAATTCATAATTAAAGAGAGACTGGTGAAACCCCTAAGACTATGGCCCTTTGTTGCTGCTGTTGACTGCTCTTGAGTTGAGGGAGACTCCAAGTGACTCTATGAACCAAAGACCTAATGCCTTTCCATACTATTGTCATTTCTCTAAGTTCACAGCGTTTACAGAGGCATGTGGTTTAGGAAGTGGATGCCATTCAGGCCACTCCTGCTTCTAAACCTGTTTTACAACAGGAGCTCCACCAAACACTTGGTATTTGATACCACAATTGTCATCAAGTCGAATACGATGAGAGTAAGTTTTGCACAAAAGACCTGAACTCTGTTCTATAACTAGCATCATTTCTCTACATTTTTAGAGTTTAGAGAGTTTGTAGAGTTTCCAGAGGCATCTAGTTTAGGAAGTGGATGCCATTCCTGCTTCCCAGCATAAATCAATCAAGGAAACTCATCCAAACATTGTACATAATGGGTAACCATTATGGTATTTGACAAGACTATGGAACAGTGTGCAGCATCACAGCAACACCAAGTTGTTCAGGTCAGCAAATAGACAAAAGATTGCTGTGTCATTTAAGGAATATTCACTTGAAAACTAATATATTTGGCCTGAGGGCCCTGCAGCATTTTAAAACCACACCTTTGAGCAGACCTCCACTCTAGGCAAAGGCCCTTAGTTGCCCTTAAACGTGGAATACATCTTGTCCCAACTCACTTCTGAATGAAGTGGCTCAACTTCATTCCGAAAACAGACATGATTATGATGTGAACACTATCTCCAGGGAGGCATCCACTCCTTACTTAGAACAGACCACCACTTAAGATTATAAAAACAACAGCATTTACGCACACCCATGTTTATTGCGGCTTTGTTCACAATAGCAAGGAGTTGGAAACAACCTAAGTGCCCATCAACAAACGAATGGATAGAGAAGCTGTGGTATATTCACACAATGGAATACTACGCTGCATTGAAAAACATGGAACTCATGCAGTATTATTCAAAATGGGTGACCCTGGAGGACACTGTGCTGAGTGAAGTATCTCAGTCACAAAAGGACAAATACTGCATGGTGCCACTGCTGTAAAACAGGACTGACCTTGGGTTTGGGGACAGACTGAGAAAGATGGGTTCAATAATGTATGCTGCATTGAAACAGATGAGGGAGAAAACTGTTTAAAAGGGATATGTGATTAGGTATTTTTGTCATGACGGGAGTCCAGAGCAAAGGCTGCATAGTGGAGTAGACCTCGGGGAGGGTTTATAAAACAATGAAAGAATTATTCTTTTACTTTTCCAAGAGGGTAGTGTACTAGGGGGGAGAGTTGGGAGGGTAGAAAAGTGCAACAATGAATAAATGGAAACCCAAAGCCTCTGTAAATTTTCATTGAAATTAATAATAAATTAAAAAACAAAACCGAACAACCAACCAATAGCAATTGCCCAAAAATAAAGCCCTGAAGGCAGCAAGGGTCAGGACAAGAGGATTAATGGAAATCACAATTAGAGGGAGGAAACGGGAAAGATGCTGATCATATTGTGGGTGCTGTAATTAATGTTATAAAACAAAAGATATTAATGGTTGAACGGAAAATCAATTTGCTTTGTAAACATTCCCACAAATCCCAACTTTTTCTTTTTTTTAAATTTGATTATTTTGTGTGTGTGTATCGTCAAATTGGATCTGACTGGTACAGGAGGAACAAATCCCAATTTTTTAAAAAAGAACTTGGAAAAAAGATGAGGGGAAGATTCACTAACAACCTGTGCTATGCATACAGGTAAAACAAACTTGATTGCCAAAATGAGGTCCTCCTTGAAGAATTTACTGATGAAAGTCAAAGGCTACAGCATTTTTTATGGATTATAATGGCCATGGTTTTCGCAATTACCTGCTATGTGTCAGAGAGCTGGACAAAGACTAAAGATGATAGAAGAATCATCAATGCCTTCTAGATGTGGTGCTGGAGAAGAGTCTTGAATGTATCGGGGACCTCCAGGAGAACAAACAGATCAGTCCTGGAATGGGTGAAACCAAGCTTCTCCTTGGAGGCAAGGATTTTGAAGCTTCCTCTCACTTTGGGCACATGGCCAGGAGATATTTTTGGAGAAGAATATCATGCTTGGAAGGCTAGAGGGACAGTGCAGGAGAGGAAGACACGGAATAAGATGGACTGACTCAGTGACTGGAGAAATGGGATTAACGTCTGTTGGAGATGATAAGATTGGCTCAGAACAGGGCAGGGTTCAGAGCTGTTGTACTTAGGGCCACTAAGAGTCACAGGTGACTCGACAACACAGCACAAGAACCAACCTGCATATAAAGGAAATGGAAGTCTTCACAACTGGACCAATAAACAATACAACGATGAAAGGGAAGAAACAGAAGTTGTTAAAGATGTCATTCCAAGTGGCATGACTTCAATTCTCAAGGCCTGTGGAAGCAGCAGTCAGATGATGCATTGCAGTGTACAAATTTGCTTCAAAAACAAAGACCCAAGCTGGTCTTTTCAGTTCTCTCCTACACGTGGAACAGCTGGACAGTAAAAAGGAAGATCAAAGAATGACACGCTTGAGTTGTAGACTTGGTGAAAAATACTGAAGACAAGATCAACTGCCAGACGAACCAACAAATGTTCCTTAGAAGTGAGGATGGCAGTGGCATCAGGAAAGGCCAAGAAAAGGACATTATGTTTGACAGAGTGGAAATGAGGGCAACCCTCCATGAGACAGACAGTGACTTTAACAGTTGGCTTGGATATACCACGAGGATGATGCAGGACTGAGCGGTGGTTTGTTCTGTCATATGTAAGGCAGCCACGAGTTGCAACAACATGGAAAAAACCCCCAAACCGCAAGGGAGTTATTCTGTAAAGAGAACAGAACTTCCAGAGCCTCATGTTCCAACAGTACTATCAAAGAACTGCTTGTAGCTTTAAGATCACAAGAGCTATAAGCCATCCTTCCAGAAAGTCCCCAAGAGTTGCTGCAGCCTTGTAATTTACCCGCCGGAATCCTGAACAAGTGCAGCTAAATGCTAACTTCTGCTTTCAGTCCAGTTATGGTCCAGAAAGTGAGAGAGCAGAGCAGGGAGAACCACCTCAGTACAAGTGGCAGGAACAAAAAGCTTCCCCAGCACTACACCCAAAGCTCCTCCACCCTGTGTGGGACTCCATGATCCAGCGCTTCTCCGCAGACCGTTAGCCACCAGAGTCCATCTGACAAGCAAATGTTCTGATGCAGTCTGTGTCTCAAATGAGGAAAGGGGGCAAAAGAGAGCCTGTGCTTTGCACATCCATCTACAAAAGAAATGGCAGGAGTTTTCCTTTCCTTCTTTTCATTTTGTGATGAAATAAAGACATCTTCTAACAGAAGAATGGCCCTTTGGTAAGAAGGAAGCAGAGTGCCAGGCACACATTTTCATGTAAGCGGAAAGCTTTCTGGAAAGCAGACTGAGCCTGCCAGCTGCCAGAGGATGAGTGTGCACAAGGGCACTGTCAGACAAACAGATATAACTGGCCACTTATTATGATACACTTTAAAGCCGGGAACCAGTGTCAAGACAAAGACAATCAATGGCAAGTTTTATCACACTTCAGAATGAGCGTATATGTCCATTGGCTGTAGATGCAAACTGTCTTTTTTAAAAATCAATGGACAGTTTTTGCCATTTCTCCTCTTTTTTCCCCCTGGTTACAGTATCATCTATATTCATCAATACACAGCAGCTACTCCTGGACCCTGTATATAGTAGGTGACAAAGAAATGTTTTAAAGTAACACTGGCAAAGTTCACTGCTACCGTCCCAGCACTGAGTCTGTGCACCTGAAGAGGACAGCTATGCAGCTGCTGAATTAAAAGGTTAACACACACAGAACATGGGCTCAGAGACTCTCGCTAGGCCATCCCTTAAAAAACACCTTCCCCTAATAAAAAGCACTTTGGCTTCTTCCGCTCCTTTCATCCTTCCAGCCAAGACGAAACTACAGGGTACTTGTTTACATTAAACATAAGGCTAGGGCAACTTGGGAACCTTTTGTAGTTAACAGGCTGAGCCAGGACAGGACACCAGCCAATCCCCTAAGGCTCTGCCATGATCCTGGTCCCTCTCTCCAGGCTCCCGTCTTTCTCAGCAGCATCTGTAAAGTTAGGAGGTGTCATACTCTTGCTCCTGCAGATTTTCCACTTGTTGATTTTAAAAAATTACTAAAAAAGTTCAGTTTAACTCAGAAAACATCTACTTGTCTCCCCAGAAGCCTGAAGAAAAGAAATAAATCACATACTGGTGCTACTTTAGTCTCATTGAGAGCAAGAGAAAGTTTTGCAAAAACTAGTTTCAGAGCAAAGTCCAAGTCACCCATCAATTTCTTCCATCATCCAATGAGGGGTGTGTAGCACCACAAGGATAATAGTAATACCTACTGATTTTTACAAACTGCACAAATAAAGGTAATGAGATTTCCTCCTCCTCCCAAAGAAATTCCTACATTTGTTTTAACCTCATTGTGATTTTAAGTTGGCACCAAATATTTTACTACTCATATAATGAAGTAACTTCTTAAATTGCCCAGTGTCCACCAAAAGAATTTTATTCTAATTCAACCTGAATGCTGAAGGGATCTAACACTCGCTAAGTGCTGGTGAGCTGGGCTTTCATCATCTTCAATGCTAAATCTAGCCCTTACTGTTAGGAAACAGTGTCCCCAATCACACAGAAACACATCTACCTTTAATTCTTGCTGCTGCTGTTTTGTCATAGAGTCAAAACTGACCCATAGCTGACCCTCCAGGGGGTTTTCAGAGGCAGTAAACTGCACACGAGGAGACTGCCCATCTTTCTCCTGGGAGCATCTGGTGGATTCTAACTGCATGCTTTTGGGATTGCAGCACAGCTTCTTACCTCTAGGTCAGTTTTGTCAAAGATTATCCTTTATCTAAGCAGCAGTTATCAAATCACAGGTGGCCTACTTGATTCTTCACCATGGCCCTGCCTCATCTCTTCTCAAGACCATCAGTTCAAAGCTGGCCACCCAAGAGCCAGGTTGCTACCAGAGACGACCAGCTGCAAACCCAGGGGCCCCTCCTCTCTGTAGGTACTCCACATACATCAGTTCTGGCCCTTTCAGTTCAGCAAAGAAGATACTCTTTCTTCCCTCAGACCTAAGAAAATTAAGTTTGGAAGAAGCCAAGTCATTCACACCTGACCTGGGAAGATCCAACATGGTGAACAGAAGATGAACCGCAAAGAGCCAACTGTCTCCTACAGACGTTAACTCTAACATGTCCTTCACCAGTGACCACAGACTTGTCACCTAAGCTCTTTTTCTATTTGCACCTCTCTAAGGTGGACACCAAAGTTCCCATATCTCACAGGGTTGTTTGCAGTCAACAGGATTGGAGACAAAGCTTTCACCACTAAGCACGGTCCCTAAACCTCTCATCTCACCACATACTTCCTGTGCCCAAGGAACCCTGTCGTGCTCTCAGGAAGTGATCTTAGCCTTTGCTGGTTAGCACTACAGACACATAAGCTGAGGAGAGAATATAATTATATACTTGGTGGATTAACACTTAAGTCATTTCAAAATCAGAACCGTTCAACAGTGCGCCCCTTCCCTCCCGTGCCCACGCCTAATCCTAAGTGCACGGAAAACCAGTGAGAAACGGGAAACCAGTGAGAACAGCAAGCCTCTCCGTCCTCCCAGAGCTGGTGCTGACCTTCCTTCACGGAAGCCGTCCGGCGCCGTGTTCTCTTCCTCCCTTTGGGATCCTCTTCCAGTATCTTCTCATCGAAGCCCGTCAGCTCAATGGTTTCAGACTGACTTGTAGGGCCAGCCGAGAACCACTCTGGCTCCTCTTCTGTGTAGGAATCATTTCTCCGACGCTCACCAAAGACACGCTTACTGTCCCCAAACTCTCTCTGGAAAAGTACACGATACAACATAAAAATAAGATTCGAGTTTAAGGCATTTCCATCCCCAGTACAGCCTTGAGAAATTAAATAACCCTTAAGACTGCAATGACAATACTGTGCTGCATTATTGAAGTGTACTGAAGCCCGTCACTGCCCCTTCTCCTCCCTCTGATCTTCCACGATCTCAGAAGTCACCCAGAGCACATGAAGTGAGGTCAGAGCCCCAGCGTCTGAGGTATCAAAGGGGCAGAAGACAAACCCTGAAACGCTTGTCTTTGTAGTCCCTCTCGCGGTCTCTGTCTCTCAAGTCCCGGAGGTCCTTATCGCTAAGGCGGTGATCCTTCTCAAACGTCCGAGCAGAGATGATTCTCCCACTGCCGATGCGGCGAGCACCCAGCAGGCGAAGCCCATCGCTGTCTTTCTCCAGCGAGCTTCCTGTGCACCGGGAGCTCACAGCAGCCGTCACGTGGCAGCCTCCGCCAAAGCTTCTTCTCTGTGGACTGAGAACAACATCTAAGTCGTCTTCCTTCACGCGCTCTCGGGGATCTAGAAAGATGCAGGAGAGAGGAAGTTATGCAAACCAACAAGGGCATTTTTCTTTTGCACTTGATGTTTGGGTGTCAGAGGGAGGGAAGTCAGAAGTCAGAAGGATGTGGAAAGATTGTGCTTAACAGTCAACAGATATATAGTAACACACACTGCAGTATCAATGAGAACTTTGTCTCGTTGAAGCAATGGGTGTTCTTCATGATAAAAGACTTCCATAATTAATCTCTGCAGTGCCTTTTCCACGGTAACGTGAATCCTTATTTAGGCAATGATCAAAGCTGTCAACCAAGTACCCCCTTGGGTGGTATAAAGGTTGGTGGTTCAAACCCAGTTTCCTAAAACATTGTTTTCCCCCAAGGCATAAAAATTCCCACAATTAAAAATTAATTCCGCTGCCAGTGTGTCTCCCATCTCACTGATCCCACCTCTGCGTGGCTGTGCAGTGACTCACCTGCTACCCTGCGCACCAAGGAAGCTCGGTCTGGATCCAGCTCTTTCTTGAGATTTTCCACTGGCGAGCTCCGCCCTGAAGCTGGGTAGAGAGAGGCATGCCACTTCTCCGGGTCCCAGACGCCGTCACCACTGTCAAAAAGCACCAACGGTCAGCATTTGGCTTGTGTAATCTAACCTCTGTACCTCTTCAGGCTAAAAGATTATGGAAACGTCTTTACAATATAAAATTTCACAGTTGTCTTCGGAAGGGTCATCTCTTTGAATATGAAAACAGGAAACTTTAATTCAGTAGTACTTTTTTTTACTTTAAAGAGTGTATTTTCTCATAGGGAGGCTAAAGCCCAGATCAGGGTATGTGCCATGTCAGCTCCCTCCTGGACATCCCTTGCACTCAATGATATTTCTGGATGGTGATATTCACGTATAAACCAGTGGTCAGTGCATAAATGAAGCATTGAGACCACATAGCCTGGGCACCTATCATTTTATCTCCGCCTGGCCTACACAAAGAGAAGTGCCATATATGTTGATTACTACATTTACTCAAGATTATTACAAGCTAACTAAACCCCTCACTAATTATTTCATCAAAACCGGCTCCTGAACTCTTCTGGTGTATTTCTGCAAACAAGCTCAGCTTTTCCCAGAAAAAGGGTTGTCAGCTTTTGATAGATTAAAATCTATAGGTTTTATTTTATTATTTGCTCACTAAGACCAGGATGGCAGGTGGTATGGTGTGCAGGGCTGAAGGCACAACAACCCGAGATGAAATTCGAGCACTGCCACTCGCCAAGTGTATCCTGGATAAGTTACTAAGCCGCATGTCTCAGCTGGCTGCAGAGAGAACTTTCTCAAGGCCCAGATCAGACCAGTCCTTGCCCTGCACTAGCACTAACTCTGTACTTGTCCCTCACAACCTGTAATGGAGAGATGATAAATCTGATGCATAGCTGACTGTCTTCTCCCATAGACCAACGTCCCACAAAGGTACACATTACTTAGGGGGCAGCAGTCACAGTGTTTGCTACATGTCACTCATTGCCATCGAACTGGAGCCAACTCACAGCTGACCCTCCGGCAGAGGTTTTTGTCCAGGGGCTGTAAATCACACCGGAGGAGATTGCCTATGTTTCTCCCTCAAACTTGCTGATGGACTCAAACCACGAGAGACGGGCCGCCTTTGGGTTAGCAGTGTAACTCTACCCAAGGGGCCACCAGAGCTCTCCAGAATACATGTATAAATATCACAGCTTCAAATGCCTTAAAGGAGAGAGCTGTTGCTACCTACAATGGTTAAAAAAAATGACTTAAAGAGTTTAAAAGCTGGCTAGCAGAGTGGCGCAGCGGAAGCGTGCTGTGCCCATAACCCAGAGGTCGATGGATCGAAACCATCCTCTGCTAAGAGTTTAAAAGCCGAACACATTTCGACTCTAAGATAAGACAGCAGAATGAGAAGCTCCTTCTGCTTCCTAAATTTTATTATTGCTGGGTTCAATGTCATCCACTTTAGATTAAAATTGAATATGTATGCCCAAGAAAACTTTATTTTATTCTGTAAAGAAATAACTAAGAATAAAATTCAACTGAACCATAAGAAGGCTTTAAAAGAGCTTTAAAGACATGTGAGAAACCCTAACCAACTGGAATAACCATTACTCAAAATAGCTCCTTCATTAAGGCGACTGGCAGAGGTCCAGGTTTAACAGGACTTCTGAATGGTCCATATACAAATTAGAAGGAGCAACTCTTATTCAAGGAGTTCAAGGTAATTAATACTTTATACTTTAGAAATGTGGGTCAGTGTGAACCATCCATCTTGGTATTTATGAAATGACTAAGGTAACAATGGAAAGCTACTGTAATAAAGGGTGCCAGCTTTAATCTTCTCAACTCCAGGCCTTCCACCTCCCAGAAGGGGGCTGAAGAAGCAAAGAAAAGTCATCTCAATGGCTGCATGTTTCTGCTTTTTGTTTATCTGGTGAAGGGAGTGGAAAAAGGACTCAGATCCCTCCTACGTGGAACAAGCTTTTGAGGAAACACTTTCAAAATTACAGGCAGAGAGAAAGGATCCTGGAGAGGGTTCCCTACCTCATGTCTTCTCTTTCCTGGCTACGTAGCCCTGACCAAGTCAAGTTCTTTCCCAGTTTGTTTCGTTATCAGTTAGATGAAAAGGAATTGACTTAGTTGTCCTATAATGCCTTAGAATTCAGAATCTAGATTAGTGGCCAAGAGCACAATGAAACTGAGGAAGGCGATTCAATGAGATGCTATTTCATCACACTTATTCTCAATAAGCAGGTGCAGAAGCCCAGTGTCATCAACAGCTGAAATCTTGCTATGCTTACATCTACCAAAATCCTCCCGATAATGTAATTCTTAATTTACCAAATGTGGGAATTAATGACAAGAAGCATGCCCCCTCATACCTGTCATATTTTTCTGAAAGGCATGAAGGCCTTTGTTTGGAATAGGGATGTTCTTTTATATCCAAGAGCTCCTCCTGAAAAGAGAAACCAAATGGTGATTTAGAATAAAATTTCTCAAGCCCCTCATTTTCAATGTCTTTTTGTTCTGAGTGTCTACCTTAAGTATTTAAAGCTGTTACTTGTTTCCACTTTGACCCAGAACTGACTGCAGTCAGATCCAGGTTCTTAAAATCAGCTCAGTAGCGCTAACAAGTAACTTAATAGTGATCAGTTCCTGCTCAACATATTTCTCAGATAAAGTCTACAACCATGAATGTTCACCATGGCACAGAAACTTCAGTCTTGCAGAAAACCTGGGGCAAATCTTACCATTTTTAAATGTCATTATGATGATAATTAACAAGTTAATAGATTTTTTTTTCTTCTTTTCCTCCTCTATTATAACTTAAAGTTGCAAGAACAAAATAGCAAGCTACAGACAACATCATACTTAATGATAAAAGGCTGAAAACCTTTTTCCCCAAGATCAGAAATGAGTCAAGGATATGCACTTTTGCCACTTCCATTCAACAAAATTCTGAAAGCTCTAGCCAGAACAAGCAAGCATTAAGGAAAAGGCATCAAAATGTCACAGAGTACATGATTATGATGGTGAAGATGGCACAGGTTAGGGCAGGGGTCAGATTCACTGTCCACAGGGCCACTATGAGCTGCAGTCTATTTGACACCACATAACAATAACCATAGCATATAACCACAATCGTCTAAAGAATAAACACAAAAATTATTAGGGCTAATAAGTTCAACATTGTTACAGAATACAAGACCAACATACAATAGTATTTCTATTTATTAACGGTAACGTTGTAAATCAAAACTAAGAAAACATATGCAACACTATCAAAAAGAAACTGCTTATAAATTTTAATTAAGACACTTTTATATATATATATATATATATATATACACACACACACACCCACCCCTATAAAATATTGCTAAAATAAATTTTAAAAGCTGTAAATAAAGTCTGTGTTCATAAACTGATTAAGCAGATGCATTCCCCAACACAAAGTCAATTAAACTATCAAAATGCATATGGCTCTTTTTGTAGAATACTTGCTAGGTGCTGTAAAGTCAACTACAACTCATAGCAACTCTATGAGCAACCGATCTGAACCCTTCCCTATCCTGCACTGTCCTCAAGATCTCTGACACAGTATCTACCAGAATGGGTTCAAGCATGACAATCTGTCTTGTTGAGGGTTGACCTTTTTCCGAGCCTCCACCTTTCCTAGCATGATGTCTCTCTCCTAGGATGGGTTCTTCCTGAGAATATATTCAAAGTGAGACAAAGTCTTTCCCTCCAAGGAGCACTTCCTTCAAGAAGCTTTGTTTCAAAGAAGTTTGTTCGTTCTTTTGGTAGTCTGTGGGATATTCAGCACTCTTTCCCAATACCACAGTTCAAAGACATCAATTCTTCTTTGGTCTTTTTTATTCACTGTCCAAATTTCAGATGCACTGGAAGCAATTGAAAATACTATGGGTTGGATAGGGAACACCTTACTTAGTCTTGACATCCTGTTTTAATTGACATTCTTACTCTTTAAATTTTTGGAGAAGTCCTTGACAGCTGACTTTCCCAGTGTAATACATCTTTTGATTTCTTGTCTGCTGCTATCATAGGTGCTGACTGTAAATCCAAGGTAAAATCAAACTGTTGACAACTTCAATTAATTCTCAGTCTAACATTATCATAATGTTGCTTACTGGTCCTAGTGGTGAGGGTTTTTGTTTTCTTGTTGTTGATGAGTAATCCATACGGAAGGTTGCCATTGATCTTTTTTTTTTTTTATTTTATTATTTTCGTGTGAGTGAACCGTCAAATCAGATCTGACTGGTACAGGAGGAGATTGTCCCTCCTTCCCCGGCAGAGCATCTGGTGGATTCGAACCATGCGCCTCTGGGATTGTAGTTGCAGCTCCTTACCACTAGGCCACCAGAGCTCCCCCCCCCCATTCATCTTTAGTAAGTGCTTCAAGTTGTCTTCACTTTCTGCAAAGCTGTGTCACCTCCATAATGCAGGTTCTTGATAAATCTTCCTCCAATCCTAATGCCACATTCTTCTTTACATAGTCCAGTTTCATGAATGATTCGCACAGAATAAGGATACAACCCTGACACACACCATTCCTAATTTAAAACCAGACAGAGTATTTCTTGGTCTCTGTGGAGGTTTTGCTTAAGCACAAATAAGTGTTTTAGGATTCCCATTCTTATCAATATTAGCCATAATTTGTTATTATTCAAAAAGGAGCCATGGTGGATTAATGGTAAGAATCTGTGCTGCAATTATGAATGCACAAGGTTCAAACCTGCCAGATACTTTGCAGGAGAAAGATGGGCAATCTCCTCTCACACCCTTACTGCCTCTGAAAACCCACTGGAGGGTCAGTTACAGGATGGTTCTGACTCAATGGCACACAATAACATACACTTAAAAGCCTCTGCATAATCAATAAAACATAATTAACATCTCTCAGGTATTTTCTGCTTTCAGCCAATATAGAATTTTGTACAATGAATGATTTACTCATTACAAGTACGTTTTTTGTTTTATTCATTGTTGCACATTTTCTTCCCTCCCCTAGTTCACTTTTCAGTGAAGCTCTAGTTCCAGATTGTCATAAATATAATGCCTAATCATATATTCCTTTAAAATAGCCTTTCCCTTCAATGTTTTAATGCAGTGTTCATTATCTATCCACTCTTTTCCTATTCTCCACTCTCAACCCTCCCTGTCAGTCCTATTTTCTAATAGCGGTGTTATGCAGTAACCTTTTGTGACTGAGATATTTAACTCAGCATAATATCCTCCAGCCTCTGAAATGTTATATAATGTATTACAAGCTCACTGTTTTTCATTTTTTTTAAATAAAATTTTAATTGGGATTTTAACTACGCTTACAAGGAAATCCAGTGGATAGAGAAGCTGTGGTATATTCACACAATGGAATACTATGCTGCATTGAAAAACAAGGAACTCATGCAATATTATTCAAAATGGGGGAGCCT